TGCCTGGCTAATTTTTTAAATTTTTTGTAGATATCGAAGGATCACGAAACTACACTACTTTTTTTAGCCCCTTCTGTGAAGGGTAGAAGACTAACACTTAAAGCACAGCTCAGTCAAAGCAAGTCTGTGAAAGATGAAAGTACTTAATTCAATCTATGAAGGCTGAAGAAACAAACAGCATATGAAACAGCCCTTTATAAAATTAGTCAAGGGCCAAAAAGTGGGAATGATGGTAGGGGAAATATTCATAACCAGCCATTGCTCCTAGCTTGCTTTCCTATAATTGCTTACTACTCAGTAATCATATAGCTGATGGTCATAAAGATTCTTAGCTTTCTTCATTGCTCCCATAGATAACATTACTCTTGTGAAACCTAAGGCTAGTTTTTGAGATGTCTTCCAGGCCCTGCATTCTGGGAATGGGTGACCGCCCCCCAACCCAACCCCAGGACCTATGGCCCAGACCAAGGAACTGACTCAATTGGTCTTGCAACCCCCACCCAGGAAATGACTCAGCACAAGGCAATTTATATACCCCATGGTTTCACCCCAAACCTAGACAATCAGCAGACCCAATTGCCTAACTGTTTGCCTGCCAAAGTATCATTAAAAGCCCTTTCTCCCAAATTCTCAGGGAGATGGATTTGAGAACTTCCTCCCATCTCCTCACATGGCGCCTGTGATATTAAACTCTTTGTCAGCTGAAACACCTGCTGTCTCAGTGTATTGGCTTCCTCCTGAGCAGCGGGCAATGAACCTGGGAAGGCTGTAACACATACTCTTTAGGCACTTTTACATCAAATTTATTTTATTTTTGAGACAGGGTCTTACTATGTTGCCCAGGCTGCAGTTGCCATGTTTTTGGCTGAGATTGTTCCCTGGTTAGCAGAGTATGATCTTGTTGCACATAGAGCCAATTGGAAATTCAGGGGAATTAGCATTCAGTGGGAGCAGCTCTCAAAACCACCGGCATAAAGGTCTGGATGGAGATGGAGTGCCATGTGTTCAGACACATAAAGATAACCTAAAGTTAGGTAGGTTCTTAGGTTTTCGCAAAAAGAATCTCACTCTCTGTTTTGGCTGTTAGAGAATATGTAACAGAACACCTGCACTGGATGTTTGTATTGACCAGCCTCATCACAAGTTTTATTACAAAAAACATTGGCCAAACATGGTGGCTCACGTCGAGAATCCCCAGCACTTTGGGAGGCCAGGGGTTCCAGACAGCCTGGGCAACACAGCAAGACCCCGTTTCCACAAAAAATAATTAGCCAGGCATGCTGGCATGTACCTGTAGTCCCAGCTACTCAGGAGGCTGAGGCAGGAGGATCGCTTGAGCACAGTTCAAAGTTACAGTGAGCTATGATCAGGCCACTGCACTCCAGCCTGGGCTACAGAGCAAGACCCTGTTTCAAAAATACATAAAATAATGTTGATGTAAAAGTGCCTAACGGATATGTACCTGTTTGTTTCTCAACTACACTAACACCTACCTCTACCTTCAACTGCAACCACCAAAGATTGCATTATGTACTTTCATGTTTCATAGACTTGCTTTGACTGAGCTGTGCTTTAATGTTAGGCTTCTACCTTTCACAGAGGGGGCTATAAGAAAGTAGTGTAGTTTCGTGATCCTCGCTTGTATTTATTGTAGGAATGTTGTGAGGGATGTTAATAACATCATTTAATGGGGTCCCCTTCAGGATGATGGGGGAGCGGATTTTCTCAGCCCTTAGAACCAGGAAAATCTGTGTTCTGCTGAGCAACCATACGTTTCCATCCTTTGCGGATTTTGTGAATGTGGAATGCAGTTTCTCAACTAGAATCCAGTTGATAGGAGTAGACTAAGGGCTACAAATCGGAAATCCCATTTAGAGACTGGGTCACTGTCAGGAATTACTTTTTAAAAATGCTTTTTAAATTAAATTTTTATTTCTCTCAAAGTAATACACATAGTTTAAAAATTCAAATAATGCAAGGCCTCTAGTGAGGAGGAGGCTACCAGTCCCCTGTAGATCCTTCCTCATTCAGATGCCCAGAGGAAACCGTTTGAATTCTTTTGTTTGTTTCTTTTGGTGTTTGCCTCTGTATTTCTAAATAATTTACATATATTGCTAATTCTTTGCATCTTTCAATTTTAGGGTTCTTTTTACTTCTTAATAGATGAGGACTTAGCATTCTAACACTTCCCTTGCCTACCTCCACTTTCCCTCCTCTTCCTCCCTCAAAATAATTACGTCACAATTGTTAATTAAAACAATTGGATTATTTCACTATTTTTCATGGCCAAGTCCTACATGGTATAGTTAGGGGATTTCCTTCCTTCCTTCCTTCCTTGTACAACTGTTTTCTCTGGAATTCTGTTGCTTTGTTTTTTGCTTAATTTTCTGGATACCTATCGCTGATTTATTCCCAAACTTTCCTCTGTATGTTTAACATCTCTCAATACAAGCACACACATCGTTGGCTTTCTTTGTTCTATTCCTTGTACTTTTTCCTCATCTTCTGTTGACTCTAGCTTTGTCAGTATGGGATTATGTATCTTATAGTTTACTGTCATTTTAATGGGGTTTAGAGAGAGGGAAACTACATGGTTGTGTTCGATTAACATGTTTAACAAGAAATCAATGAAGACCTCTCTTCTGACAATGCTTAGAGCAGCAGTCACCAACCTTTTTGGCACCAGGGACCAGCTTCATGGAAGACAATTTTTCCATGGACTGGGAGTGGGTGGGGGAGGTGAAGCTCAGGCGGTGATTCGAGCAATGGGGAATGGCTTTGCTTACTCACCTCTGCTCACCTGTTGTGCACCCCTGCCCCCATTCCTAAGTTTCTTGGAAGACAATTTTTCCATGGGTGGGTGGAGGGTGGGCAGTGGCGGAGCTCTGCGGCCTGGTCCCTAACGGGCCACAGACTGGTACTAGTCCACGGCCCAGGGGTTGGGGACTGCAGGCTTAGAGAACCTTTGGTTAACATTTTATCTACAGAATAGCTTATAAGACAGTCTAGACACAATGTTTTATTCAAATTCTATTTTGGCCTGGCACCTTTTTAAATTGAAGGAGGTAAAATATAAGGTTCAGATTGGGGGCCTGAGGCATTTTTATGCTAAGCCTTGAATTTTAAAGTGGTTTAGCAAAGTTTTAACCGTTATTTTGTTTTCCTTTGCTGTCCCTTCTAAGCTCATCTCTCCTAACACTTGTGTTTTCCCTGAAGAAATTAGAGATGAAGATTTGAATGCAAAGATGTTATTTGAGAGGTGATAGCAGGAACTAGCAATAAGGAAGGGAAGGAAGCCAATAAAAGACGTGTTATGAAGTTACACTGTAGGTACATGGAACTTTTAATCCTGTTGGGGAACTATTCTGGTAAATACACAACACACACCTCAGAGTTATTCTAAGAGGTCCCGAGAGCTCAGATATTTATACACCAATTCCTATCCTTCTTGATTGACCTAGCAACCTAATTAGCTAAAACCTAAAAGTCAACTGAAATATCTTGAAGGTGGTAAGGTAGGAAGGGAGTTTTTAAACATAGCAAAGGTGCAAGGGCCCCTAAGGCAGTGTGGTGAATGCTTCCCGCTTTTTGGCTCATTAGAATTCTTTCCTAACACTTCAATTATTTTGGGGGAATATCTTGCCCATGGTATACAGTCTTAAGGGAACTGTAAATCAACTTTCCCCAAGAGTGGTAACCTAAGCCAGGCTATGCCAATCGGACTGTTTCAGGGAACTTTGAATTGTATGTAAAGTGATAAAAGGAGAGAATAGTCATTTCAGAGAACATTGAGACAATGTTGATTAGCACCTGTTGTTAAGTCCTGAGAGTTGCCCTGGCTTCTGCTCCTTTGGAGCCACCACATTCTTCCAGTGAATTCCATTTTGTGTGTGTCAGCCAGAGTTAGTTTCTACTTCTTACAAACACCTCCACCCCGTTTCTTCTTGAAATTTATCCCCAAAACCACCCCACACACATGATCTCTAGGCAGCTACTAATAATCTGCATTATCATTACACTTTGCAGTTTTATAATGGAAAAAAAAAAGGACCAGACACAGTGGCTCATGCTTGTAATACCAGCACTTTGGGAGGCTGAAGCAGGAAAATCACTTGAGCCCAGGAGTTCAAGGTTGCACTGAGCTATGATCTTCCCACTGTACTCCAGGCTGGGCAACAGAGCAAAACCCTGTCTCAAAAACAAACAAAAAAACACTATTTGAGAACTCTTTGCCAAACCCAAAGTCACCAAGAATTTTTCCTGTATTTCCTTCTAGAAGTTTTATAGTTTTAATTACATTAACTTTTTTTTTGAGATGGGATCTTGCTGTGTTGCCCAGGCTGGTCTCAGACTCCTGCATTCATACTTTGTAAAGGATGTTCCTTACTTTGTCCTCTCTTCAAAACACAGTATTTATGGGAAATCCCTAATCTTACCCTACTCTTCTTTCCTGTTTCTTTACATACTTTGTACTACACCAGTATGTGATGTGCAAACAGAAAAGTTTCACAACTTTCAGATACTCCTGGGTTCTTCACTGGACTTTTACCTGCCCCCCACTGTGCTTCTCTAGAGGATCATCACCAACATTTTAAGCTTCCAAGAAGAGTCTGACCCTACCAGCCAGCTGAGCCTTTAGCTAGCTAATCACTAGGGAAACTTTTGGAAAATAGATTCTCACGCTCTATTCCAAAAACTATTCGGTAAGAATCTCAATAGTACCTACAGTGAGCATGATGCACAACCAGGTTTGGGAATTAAATCCTCAGCTATCTCAATCTAAATGGGGATAAGTTCATTTTACCCTTGTTTCTTCCAAGATAATTAGCAGAGGACTAAAAAGAAAACAATATAAAAGCATACAAATTTTCTACACAGATTCCTTATACTTCATTATTCCAAGTTATACACAGTGTTCAACAGAAGATTGAAGTTTATTAAGTCATACACACAAGTCATGTCTGACAACTGAGAAAATGCTATTTACATAAAACATCAGATTAAAAATACATAGTATTTGTATTTTAATACAATAAGGTCCCAGGATTCAAACAAGGAAGTTTGATTCCAGAGTTTACATTATGTAACTATGTACTCTTATAAAGAACTATGGTGGAGGTAAACTTTGGCAGTATATTTCTCAAGAGTCAAATATTAATGAATTTCATATACATGGTTTTGCATCTGTAGAGGAAGATACAATTCCTTCAGCACATGTGCCAATTTCTGAGTCCTCCACTTCAGAATCCTCACCAGTTTCCTCTTCATAATCAAATTCCCGACTATCCGGTGATTCAAAGTTATCCAGAGGTTCACCATTCAGTCTCTTTGAAAGAATAAACCAAAAATTTTTTGTAAAAACTTTAAAACCTAAGTCCATTATCAGTATGCTGATATAGCTGATCTTTGATGTTGTAATGAGATTCTTTTCATCTTGCTCCTCTAAAATCACTTATAAACAGTGCTATTTCTAAATCTCTGCCAAGCTAAGTTATATGCAGCAAACTCACAGTGTTAAATAATTTGCCCATTTTTTTAAAGCACTGAAATGCTTTCAGAGCATAATTTAAATTGGCACTTCTCTAGTGAGCTACAGTGAGAACCAGGTGTTCTACATTTCCAATCAGCTGTGGACCAATACTTTAAAGGCAGTTGAGAGAGAGCTGCCACAGTACTTCCAAATGAAAACTTCAAACATTAATTCTATCATAGCTCTAAAATGTAAGGCTGCAATTCAGTACACAAAAAGTTTTGATTTACAAAACTTTTTTCCTATCAGCAAGATGAATTTTTTGCAAACGTAAATAAATCTTAAAACCTTTTTTAGGCCAAACCTGGTAAAGTAATAGTCATCAGGCTAATTCTTACAAATACATTAGCTACTTACAAACTTTTTTCTTTAATTTTTACCACTAGACCACCAGAGAACTTAGAAACTTTTTAAAAGTGAGATAAAACCACCAAACTTATTTAATGTGCCAATTAACAGTTTTATAAATGACAGTAATGTCATGCTGGTATTAAAGTTAAAATAAAAACTACATAAAAATGTCAACTATGAAATAATTTTCCTTATCTTTCAGATATAAGTTAATTACTTTTAATAACTCTGAGAAAAATAGAGGTTCTTTTGCTTAATAATAATAGTTAACAGTTATTGGACTCATATCTGGAAGTACTCCTTGCAACTGTCCATCTGTTATAACTCATTTAATTCTCATAACAAGCCTATAAGGTAGGCTTCATGACTCCCACTTTATAGATGAGGAAAACGAAGTCCTGACAGGATAAATAACCCACTCTAATCAACAAACTTAATGGTGTCAGGCAGGAAGCTAAGACTCAAACCCAGGAAATCTGATTCCAAAGCCCACTTACTGCTCACACTACTGCCTCAACTTTATAGAAAAAAAGATGACTTTATATCTCAGGTGAATATTAAATTACCTACCTCTATTACCTCTGCCATATACTGTACATGTTCTGCTACTTCTGCCAATTCTTTATTCTCCTTTTTCAGGCGGGCAATTTCATTGTCCTTTTGCTCAATTTCTTTATGAAGCTATATAACATAAATGAAGTTCAATATTTCATAGAATACATATAGCTATGCTATAAATCAAGTTATATGTGTCAACATATATAACTGATAGACTTGTGTTTCAACAGGATTCATTCTGTACAATAATTCTGGGAACAGAGTTGCCTTTCTACTTAAACTTTTCCTAGGCCAATATTAAAGCTAGTTTATATTTCTCTAATCAAATATGCTAAGCAGCAAAACAATCCTGTAATTTTTAAAAATGGTACAAATTATACTCAATACATACTTTCTCATTTTCCTTAAGTGCTTCATAGAGAACCTTCCTCCGCTTTTCTGCCACTTCTTTCCAATATTGAGAGGATGGATTTTCTAAAATGAAGATTTTTGCAACATTTTTGAGTATACAAATTCGTATTTAACATTTACATTTTTGAAAAGTCCAGATCATTTATTTGGTACATTGCCCTTAATTTTGAACTTCTGTTTCCATGATTAGATTCAAACTAAACATTTTTGGCAGGAATATTATATAAGTATGTTGTATCCTCAGTGTATCATCAGGAAACACACATCAATTTGTCACAATACTAGAGATGTTAAATTTTATTAAGATGCTATCTTCCAGGTTTCTCCCTTCTAAAGACATCTTTTAACTTTAGTAATTAATAAATGATCTATGGAGTAAAATCTTTT